ATCATTATAGGATGGGGGGAGTATTAGTCAAAAAGTTAATACGAAAAATAAATCAGAGAATTAAAAAAGAATAAAGTAACATGCACGTGGTTTATGAACCTATTCTATGAGGTAGCAGTGCTTGGCGGCTGCTAGTCTACAACAATGGCAGTGAGGTGATCGGTGATGATAAATGTTGGCACAAATTTGACGGCCATATTGCACGGATTATTCAAATACATCTGGCTTCCTGTCCCCGAAACGTCTCCACTCGGGTACTTAGAAGCGTCCCCACATCCTTTCTACTCTGTAAATTATGAAAAAAATAGCGTCTCACACTTCCGACCCTGTCTCCGTATCCATATCGCCGTCTCGGTGCAACTTAGTTTGCCAGGCGCGACACTTGAATTAGTATCAATATAGAATTTTATCTTAAATTTTGTATCTCAATATTTAAATAAATTGAATTAAAAATTTATTGAGTATAATATCTACTCCATCCATTTCACAAAATCTTCCGCCCTAATTTTTCGCGCACCCCATAAAACAATTCTATTCCACATAATATATATGTTTAAAATACTTTCAAAACAACTTCTACCTGCAATAAAATACGAAATTGAAATTTATTTTAGACATTTTAAGTGTGGTAAATGTATTTTGAAAGATGCGTAAAAAATTAGGGCGAAAGTGTTTTATAAAACGGAGGGAGTATATTTTAAATATTTTTTTTTAAAAAAAAATGATGGGGCATTTTACCTCCCACCTTTGGTTGTAGATCCTCCCGCCTACCTGAGTAGCTTAGATGGTTTTGAGGAAAGAGTGTTAAGTCCAATGTCTCGAGATCGATTCACAGGGGATCAAGGTGGGTGTGGGGAGAGCTGGTGGATCAGACTAAAATTATACCATGATTTCTCCTCACTACTACTCTTCGGTGGGTGTGGGGAGCCGGGTGGGCATTCCATCTTTTTTTCCCGGTCGTAGACCCACCCATGGTTATAGATGGTGCCTTTTATGACGATCAGTGGTGGTAGTAGTATGTGATGTTCGTCGTCAACAACCAAACTTTTAATTTGGTTGATGCCAGTAATGTGTAATTAATTAGTAAAGAGGGCGGTTAGTCGTTGATGGTGGATATACAGTAATTAATTAGTGATATCAATGATTAGTAACCGATGGGGATAGTGCTATTGTTAGCGGGACCACATATGGATGTCATGGGGTTCATTTGGAGTTCACCAAGTGTGGTAAAGATCCTCTTTGGTGGAATGTGTAGGTGGTCATACTTGTCATGGTTATCCATTTTATATTTCAGCAATTAGTTTCTATTCTAGAAAACATAAATACTTCTTTTTCCCAGTTTTTTTTTTTTGAAAAACTGAAAAAAAATTAGGAAATCATTTTTTGTTTACTAATTTTTAGAAAGAAATGTGTTTCTTATATGTGGAAAATGTAAAAAGTAAAAAATGTTTCATGTAGTCCATTTGTTTTTGAAAACAGAAATATTTTACACTTACACTATGTTTGGTTCAAGGAATTTGGAAGTAAAAGAAAAGAAAACAATTTTCTTGCATTTTCCTCACGAGGAATTTGATTTTTCCTCCACTTCGTATATTTTGACCTCTCATTTTCTTTTCCTTCCACTTTTCCTTTCTTTTCCTCTCTAACTAAACAAGAAATAGTGCTTTCCACTTCATTTTTTTTCCGTTCAAATTCCTTGAACCAAACATAGTGTTAGTAAAATGACTCCTAACTTTTGACCCAAAAAGAAAATCTCATTGCTTCTCAATTAACAGGCCTGACAGGCCTTTCAGTGGACTAAATTTCAAGAAAAGAATCCACCTTTTGATCTAATAATTAATCCAGGAGTAAAGAGTTCTCTGAAACTTGTCTTGTGAAGTATGGCTATTGTATGTGCTTGTGTTAGCTGCTTTACTATTTTTGAAATGCTTTTTACTTCGCAAGCCAAGCAATCATCATTTCACACTTTTTAAAATTTTATTTCCTGGAATTCTTTTCTATAAGCCTCGAATCTTTACCAGATCATAAAATCCAAGCACAATATCCACTTGACCCAATTGCATGCGCAAAGCTATAAACCAAGTGCAATAATTAGTCAGGTTTTCTTACCTGGAAACAGAAGATACTTTTCTTGTGTTTGCCCAAATTGTTCCCTTTTCAGATCATGTGAAAAGAGTGTGCTTTAGACCCAAATACAGCTGGCTTAGAGAATATGAACATGATATAAAAAAGCAACAAGAAAGGGACATGAATGGTTTTACTTCCATTGGAAGCTTTATTTTCACCACACTGTTTTGTTATGTTATGGTAGTTATATAACTGATTATGTTTTGTCTTTTACATGTGACTTTTTTTCAGGAGTATATTGTAAAAACTGGCAATGGTTCAATTTCTGTTACTGTTTTTGGAGACCATGACAAGCCAGCTCTTATTACCTATCCTGATCTGGCTTTGAATTGTAAGGGCACCCCAATTAATTTCAGTTTGTGGAAGTTGGCCTTGATTGAGCTCTTTGGAATCTAAACCCTTTTATCGTTTTCTTAATGAAAAGATTGTAAATTTTTTAAATTATGAGTTCCAAAATCTTGCGTTTTAGCGTGTTTAGCAAACAAATTTATGTTTCTTCTCGTTGACACGTCTAATATGTGTCTTTGTTGGGTGTGTTGTTAAACAGATATGTCGTGTTTCCAGGGATTGTTTCTTTGCCCAGAAGCATTCTCTTTGCTACTGCATAATTTCTGTATATACCACATTAGTCCTCCTGGGCATGAGGTCAGAACTGTTCTTCAACAATTGCCCTTTTTGCTGAACTCATACATGTATTCACATGTGTTCTTATCTGGTATTTTGGGCAAGTGTTTTTGCAGTTGGGAGCTGCTGAAATTAGCCCTGATGAGCCAGTTTTGTCTGTAGATGATTTAGCTGACCAGATCGCCGAGGTTCTTGATTACTTCCGGTAGTTATAACTTATAAGATATCTTATACCCCATACCTTTAAAATCATAATTAATTTGGAAATGTTTTTGAAAGGAAACTAAATATTAATTCGACAATAGAAGCTTGAGTATTTTTCTTCCAGAACCCTTGTTCATCAGCTAATCAAGAATAAAGTTGATCTTTTTTTCCCCTCATTCTCATGCAGGCTTGGTACAGTGATGTGTATGGGAATCACTGCCGGAGCATATATTCTTACCCTCTTTGCGGCAAGTCTTGTTTCTGAAAAAAAAATATTTTTGACAAACTCATACCATCATTTCTGCTTAGGATATATTTGCTGAGCCAGGTTTTTCTTTCCACAGATAAAATACACGAAACGTGTTACGGGTCTGATTCTTGTTTCTCCTCTGTGCAAATCACCCTCATGGACAGAATGGCTATGTAACAAGGTATTCTCTTGGTCATCCCATTTACTTGCTGCATTGTGAAACTAAGAGTTATTTTTGTTCTTGAATCCTCCCACAGTAAATCACTTGATGAAAAAAAATGGACAGGTTATGTCAAATCTGTTGTACTTTTGTGGCATGTGTAGTTTGGTTAAGGAGCTATTGCTCGTGCGGTACTTCAGCAAGGTGCTTTAATTCCCATTTCATACCTCAAAATTTGTAAGCTACAAGTAGAAAAACTTGCGAATTTCGTGACATTTATTAATTCCAGGAAGCTCGTGGCAGCGTAGAAGTACCCGAATCAGATGTAGTTCGGACATGCCGAAGAGTTAGTGTTCTTCAGTTTTTCCTATATGCTACATTTTAAATGAACAAAATTAATAAGAAAGATGGGATTTTTGACTTTGTTTCTGATGCACGTTATGTCCAAATTTCCATATTGCATAGTTGCTTGGTGAGAGACAGAGCCCAAATGTCTGGCGGTTTCTTGAGGCTATCAATGAGTATGTAATTTTTTTTGGTCATTTAAGTTTATTTTCACTTGGTTATTTATATTCATAAGATAAGATTCCTCTTCACATGAGGGACATTATTAATTTGCTTCAAAAAATGTTTTGATTCATGAGATTCATTAATCAAAACCTTTTTTTTCCTCTGGCAGGCGACCGGACATCACCGAAGGCCTACGAAAACTGCGGTGTCGTTCATTAATATTTGTCGGGGAAAATTCTCCTTTCCATTTTGAGGCTCTTCACATGGCTTCAAAGCTTGATAGAAGGTTCAGTGCCTTAGTTGAGGTATGCTAAAAATTTCATTTCCTTGCAAAGTACATATTTCTGGCACATCAAGACTAAGAAATCCAAATATATGTAAAAAAATCAAAAACTTGTTCACATAAAGGATTTTTTTTAATATCCATATTCTCCAAGATTGTTTACCCATTTCCATACCATTTCCTATGTTTCAAGCATTGCCCAAAGATTGTGGGATTGATGAGAAGAAAATATATACACATTTTTTGTGTACAGGTTCAAGCGTGCGGGTCAATGGTAACTGAAGAGCAACCGGATGCGATGTTGACACCAATGGAGTACTTCTTAATGGGATTGGGCTTCTACAGGCCGTCACTGTTCAGCGTCAGCCCAAGAAGCCCGTTAAGCCCAACTTGCATCTCCCCCGAGCTTTTCTCGCCGGAGAGCATGGGCTTGAAGTTGAAACCCATCAAAACAAGAATTCCGATAGAGGTGTGAAAGAGTTGCCAAAGACAGAAGATGAGAAGAAAAAAAATTGACAGGTTGGGACGGTTTTGTGTAAGATATGTGGAAAATATGTTAGAAAAGCCCATGTTTGGAGACATGTGCATTGTAGATATGGGGATGGAAATACCAGGTGGGAGAAATCATAGAAATGGTTATTTTGTTTTTAAAAAATGTTTGTCATCTCAATAATTATTAGTCATAATTCTTAGTTCTGTACATCCCAAAAAACAATATATTACTATCATTTTTTTAAATATAATAATGAATATGATGATGATTAATTGATGATATGTCTTACAGTGGTGCTATGCATACTAGCTAGGCCTTAAAATAAGAAACATGATTTTCACTTTTGAACCTTTAACATGTTCTACCAATCTGCCATTATAAAAAAAAGATGAACTTCATCCCCGAGGGCTCCTTCAAACCCAGTCGGACGGTCACTGAGAGTAGATAAATTAAACTTTAATCGCAGAATAATGGCAAACAGTAGAGCCTTCACCGGGTACTTGCAGAGGCTCTATGCTTAGCATAGTTGCCTCCCAGCGCAGTTACCAAATATTGAACTTGAGTTTTACCCCTTTGGCACCCCTTGCCTTACCAAATGCGCAACGTCCACTGGCCAATCTGCCATTATAACATGGATATATTATAGTGTTGTCTATTGAACTAGTGTTCTAATGGAAATGTCATTTTTAAACGTTCAGGCAAAAGTGGTACTTGTAAACAAACAAACATACCAAAATCAAAAGTTAATCAAAGTTAATTGCACTAAATGGAATCTAAAATAGAGGCTCTGTCAATGGAAATAAAAAAAGAAAAAGAAGGAAATATAGCTTTATGGATTTAATTTTTACTGAGAAAATCTGATAAACTTCAACCAAATTTGTGTAAAGTCTCACCCAATATACTGAGGCTAAATTGACACCATCCCAACTCCAATAATGTGTTCTATCAAATCCTAGGTACCCAACAAAAACCCCACCATCAACCTACTTCATGATTTGTTCAACCCACAAAAACTAAGTATGCATCAATTAATAGAACCAAGGAAAACAACAACAAAAAACTTTGTGCTTTGGAAAAAATAGAAAAAAAAAACGAGCTATGGAGAATTGAAGAATAAAAACTCAGAAAGAAGAGGCTTGGGAAAACCTGCAAAATGTCAGCAGATGTTATTCCAGAAAAAAGAGGCTTGAGTAAACTTGTTAAGTATGCTGCAATATCAAAGAAATCTTGATTATTTACTGCCAATAAATGCCAACAAAAAATGTTTTATCTTTGATAAAACAAAGAGTATCAAAAGCTGTGTAGAAAAAGAGAAACATTAAGTACTTTAAAAAAATTGGATTTGCAGTTGAAGGCTTTTTAAAACTTCCTCTATTTTACAGGAAATGGGTTAAATCAATGGGAGCTAAAGGAGTCATTAAAGATATAGTTTTAGCTTCCGGTAAATGAACAATGCGCTAAATAAAAATAGCACATTAAACTTATTCATCTCTATTCTTCCTAAAGTACCCTTTCTTCCACTCCCCTTTTATCTCTTTTCTTCTCCTGGATTTGTTTTCTCCTTCTTCTTCGTTTCTTCTTCGTTTCTTCTTCCACCCCCTTTTCTTCTCTCTCTCTCTCTCTCTCTCTCTCTCTCTCTCTCTCTCTCTCTTCCCCCCTTTTCTCTTCGTCTTCTTCTTCTCATCCTCAACCTTGTTCTTTTTCTTTCCTCTTCCCTCAGATCTACGCCTTTCTCCCTCCTTTTTCTTCTTCTTCTTCTAGATTTGTGTTAGATTAATGGGGCTGGCGGTGATAGTAGAGCAGAAGGCGGCGGTGAGAGGTAGATCTGGTAGATCTGTGGGACTAGCGGTGATAGTAGATCCGTGGGTTTTTCTTCTTCTTCTTTCCGCCTCCCTCAGGTTTTTCTTTATTTTCTTTATTTATTGTGGTGGGGGCTGGGGCAGGAGTGTATGGTGGAGCGGCGGATGTGGCTGGGGAAGCGGTGGGCTGCGGCGGCGATGGACTGGGGCGGCGGTGGATTGGCAGTGGGCTGGGGTGTGGGTAGAATACTGTTGGGGCATAACAAAAAGGTAAGAGGGTATTTTGGATATTTTAATGTCAAAATCAACACCCACTAAAAATAAGGAAAAGTCAACGTGGGAAGTTAATTCCCGGACAAAAGGTGTAATAATAATATATAATAATAACATATAATCAAATAATAAAGAAATTGTAAATGTGATACATGTTCATCATAAAAGATCACGTACTTCTATTAAATCTCTTCCTCTTGTCCAAGCCGGAACAAAGTAAACACGAACAGCTCGTAGCATAAGCATCCAAGTGGTTTGAGAATTGTCAATCTCGGCAAGTACATTCCACATACTCTTTGAATGTTTTGAGACATTTATTTGAAAGTGGGCCGAATTGGATGAAAGGTATGAAATGTTTGGAGTATAAGTATTACTCCCTCCGTCCTATAATGATCTTCCCGGTTCGCAAAACGAAGAAAAATCCTAAGTTTTTTCAATCTATTTTATTTAAATATTGGTATAGAAATAAAAAATAAAACATACATATTTAAAAACTACACCAAAAGTTCAACAAAACAAGTGGTGATAAGAATATTTTATTTTATCATATAGACCATGAAAAAACACAAATAAATATAAATTTCCGTGAAGTTGGAATAGAGCTCTGGGAAGATCATTATAGGACGGAGGGAGTATATACGGAGTATATAATTGGACAATAAATCTACTCATTAGATATCTTGATTTATTGAATATATTCCTTTAATATAATTTGACATAAAGTATGTATGGAGTCACGAACTAACTTTACTACGCACGTGGTTCTATAACAATACAATACTCATTTATTTATTTTGAGTTGACATAAAGTTTGCATTGCGCTTCCATACCAACACACTACACATTTATTTATTTTGATTTGATATAAAATTTGTATCGAGTCACGCACCAACTTTACTATGCACACAGTTCCATAGCAATACACTACAGATTTATTTATTTTGATTAGACATAAAGTTTGCATCGAGCCACGCACCAACATTACTATGCATGTGGTTCCATATCAATACACTACCTATTTATTTATGTTACATAAAATTTGCATCGAACCACATACCAACATAACTATGCACATGTCTCGCCGTATAATTTAAAACAATCTATACCCTATCCTAATTTACATATCTGTTTCGATTTACGATATTTGACCAAAATTTATTTCAAATTATTTAAAAGTGGTGTAGAATCAAAAACAAAAATTACATGCTAAATTATCACAACAAAAGATCTAGAAAACGAATAATAATTTCTACATCAATTGGAGTAGTATTTTTTTTCTTTAATTTTGTTCCACAAATTATGGGCCGACATTACATAGAAGTGTATTTTTGTCACACGTCTTAGATTCGTTTAATGATTTACGGAGTATGATTTTTCTAGCCTAACAAAATTTATGAAACGAAAATTACCCCGGGTAAATAAAATTTGTTGAAAATACCAAGAGTAAATTCTACTCTCTCTGTACAACCCTGAAAACTTTATTTTTTAAAATTTTGATATATCAAAATTATATCTTAATATAACCTAATTATATTAAATTTAAATTATAATTTACTCCCTCCGTCCCAAATTATAATGCCTGTTTACTATTCACAGGGTCAAACTTCATTCACTTTCATTCTCTATTTTCGTTAGCAATTTGATAAAATAAAATATTATTGTCACTACTAGTTTTGTAGATCTTTTGATGTAGTTTTTTAATATGTAATTTTTATTTTTTAATTCTATACCATTGTCATAAAAATGGTTTGAAAATAATTTCAGTCAAACATCGTAAACCGAAACAGACGTTATAAAATGGGACGGAGGTAGTAATATATTTTCTCACAATTTATACACAAAGGGTATCAATGTTTGACTAAAAAGTCAAAACAAAAAGAGTTTTCAGGGACGGATGAAGTATAATTAATTCCACAAGAAATTTTTCATATTTAACCTTGTATTATCAAATATTACGTTAATGATAATTTGTTTATGAGTACATATCCACGAATAGTCTTTTATTTGACATTTTATTGTGTTGGTTTTAAATTGAGGATCAATATTATAATTAAACATCAACCTCAAGTCCGACCATGTTTTCTTAAGTCGGCTGGACAGACAACACCAAAAAATGATTATGGCTACGGACTTGAAATCCCAACATCAACGACACATGTGGGATATAGTTGCGGAGGGCGATGACTACAATAGATAAATGCACATGAGTACTGACTTTTGATATTGCCTGTAACAAAAAAATAGTCAATAAAAATGTAAGATTTATGTGAAATTACACATTTAGAGCATGTTCTTTAGTACTGAAAAAAAAGCTTAATGTTGAAAAAACTGGAAGAAAAATTGGAAGAAACTTAAAATAACTTCAAAAAAATTGGAAACACCTAAAGGGGGCCTCGAGTTTGATTCTTAACAACTATACTAAGGATATGATCTCAGCGAGAAGTGAGAGTAAGACCCGAGTTTGATTCCTAACAAAATAAGTTGTATGTCGGTGGGCGTTGCACAGTTGGCGAGAAGTGCAAAGGGAGTAAGACCCGAGTTTGATTCCTAACAACTATAGTAAGGATATGATCTCTACAAATACCAAATGCAAGCTCCACATTTTGTTGATTATTTATGATCAAAATCCAATTTACTTCCTCAATCACTGTCCGGCTAGGTATGAAGAAATTCTCGGGGGATCGGACCCATCTTTTTTATCCAAAAGTTGCATAAATTAACACACGAAAAGTTCCCACATGTGACGCACGGGACTACGCGTGAATCCACAATTCCCCATAGTTTGTTTGATTCCCACTAGAATGTTTAAGGCAAACATAAAATTCATAATTGTCTTTCTTTCATGTAAGCCAAATAAACATTGACTTAATACCATGGCATTTTTTAAATTTTAAAAATATATAAAAAAATTTGTGATTGAAAACCCATGTGGAACTCCATTTTAGAAAATTTCCACATTTTAGCAATGATTATTTGAATAATTTTAGTTTCTCGTCATCACATTGAATTGAATACATGAAAGAAGAAATGTTGGAGACTCGTTTTAAGTACAAGCGGCAAGAGTTCTCCCCCAAAATCTACAATCACAAAACATATGCCTTTTTGTTCATAAGTAACGTCTTCGGAGTGAATCGAACAAAAAAGAGAGCAATGACACATGAGAATTGGGATTACTTTTTATACAATTGGGATGAGGGGGGAGCACGAAATGTTTGTTACATTTTGGAAGCTACACCCAAAAAAAACATACATACCAATTGTGACGGAAGAAATTTCACTAGCCCATTACATCACAACCCCCTCCAATAAATAAATAATTAATAAATACGAGTACTATTTTACACTTTTTTAAAAAGGAAAAAAGAATAACTAGACGAAAACAGGAATTACATTGGCTAAACGCGAAAGCTTAAGCTTTTTGTTAGTGGTTTTGTCAGTTAGAAAACCTCCACTGCCATTTACCCATTTAAGGAAAGTTCTTTGTAATGGAGAAAGCCGCTGAAATGGAGTCATGCAAGAAGACCTCTCTTGCCCGAGCTTGAATGGGTATGTATCCATGGCATTGATCGGTTGTTTTGGCTAATTTTATCCTTGGTGAATCAAGAGATCCTTTGATATCAAGGCGATTCTTTGTTTAACACTCTCCGAACGGAGGCTATCCCCTTTCAACCCCAACTAAAATTCGGAAAGGGTATTTCAGTAAGACGTTCAGAGGAAGAAATATGCATCGTATTATCATGTAGAACGATTGAATTGCATATAGTACTACATAGTACTCCCACCATCTGGCATTAATCATCGACTTTTCTATTTTTGTGTCTTCGAAATTAGCAAACCATTTTTCAAAGCCCATTTGACAACACAAAAAATTTGGTCTTTAGCTTTAGCCTTTTAAAATTGCTATCTAATGGCATACATTTAGCTTTAGTGTTTTCAAAGTTAAAACGCACCATTAAAAAAAGTATCTAAAACGCGAACTTAAAACATTGTTCCTAAACAAGGACATTATGATGGATGATCTAAAATACATTCTAATCTAACTAACAAATTTGCACCATTAACATCAATCAGTGATAAATCTATTTATTGGTCTTACTTAATATTTCATTTTGGCTTCTTAAATATGAGGTATTTTGAAAACTGGACAACTAAATCCGAACGAAAGTAGAGGATTATTTACCTCAATTTGGCTGTCGGGTGTAAACCACCTAAGTAGAACCCCGAGGTGAACCACGCCAGGTATAAGCTTGAAAAGCAATGGAGTAGTTACCTGAAGAATTGAACATTGTGATTAACTTAACTTTAAAAGCAAAGTAGAAGCAAAATCTAATAAAATAGTATAAACTCGTTGTCCTAATCATTTACTTATTCATTACCAAATTACCATAGACCATATATATAATGATTGTCCTAACTTCAAAAGTAAAAATAGCCTCTTCTAAACCATCTTTCCAAACATACCTGTAAGGAACTAAATGAAAGAAGCATTGTAAAGATAAGAGAATGTTTTGTACCAGACTAAGAGCTGTTGTTCCAAGAAGCAAAAGATACAGTTTCCCCTACATATGAAAATTGTTACAAATGTTACAAAATTTTGACTTGTAGATAAAAAACATGACTGTGGATCAGATATATCACAACTAAGTTACTAAAAAATCTCTACTCCCAACCCAATAGTCTGTTTGGAACCCGAAAAATGCTAACGAGACTACAAAAGAAAATAGGGTGGAAAATGCAAGGAATATTTATTGAAAATAAAAGATAGGTGCAAAATCAATACATGATTTTAAAGCATTTGTCCGAACTCCTTTTATTTTTATTAAGAGGAATTGTAGAGTCACACCATCCCAAATGGTGTAACTTCGTGTCATCATTTAAATTGGGGCACCTACGGTGCTCTATTCGTAAAATTGACGGTTCCTACCCCTTATAAACCCCCACCCTCGACCTCGCCCCCACACAAAATTGATGGCTCCTACCCACCGAGGGGTAGGGGGATCGAGAGGGGCGAGGTGGGGGTGGGGGTTTATTAGAGGGGTTATGAGGAGTAGAAACCGTTAATTTTACGAACAAAGTACCATAAGGGCTCAATTGAAATGGTGTCAGGAAGTTACACCATTTGGACATCTTTAATTTATTCCTATTGCATAAATATCTGAAAAACATAAGGAAATAGCTTCCCTTCGCATTTTCCATTCCCCAACATTTACAAGACCAAAAAAAAGAGTAATGGACTAATGGTCTAGCATTGTCCCCTACCATGTTGCAGAATTAATAAACCCACAGAACAGTTACCTCAACAAGATGAAGATTTGATGCACGACTGAGCAACACAAAAGCAAATTCCCCAATTTGTGCTAAAGACATCCCAACCTTTAGAATGCATGATCCATCATTTCCTTTAAATTTTAATAAAAGAAATGCACACCAAAATACAAAATTTCTAATTAATATTTGAATGAAGCAGCATATCATACCAGAAGTGAAGTTTTGTTGTTGTAGGCAAATCCCTTGACGACGGTAAAGATTACGGCAGTTTTAACAATAATCACTAGTATAACTGACGCTAGTAAGATATCAACATGGTTCCAGAGAAAATGAACATGTATAAGCATCCCGATGCTAGCAAGAAACAAAGCAGCAAAGAAGTTTCGTATGGGTTCAACCTGCATAAATAACATCTGCTAAACTGATGCCCACTCCAAGAAAAATCACATGAAAACGATATGTAATCTACTTCTAAACCCTAACACTACGCTTGGTTCAATGAATTTGGAATGAAAAGAAAATAAAATGGTTTTCTCATTTTCCTCCCCAAAATGGGAGGAATTGGTTTTCTCTCTTTATACATTTTGCCTTCTCATTTTTGTTTCCTTCCACTTTTCTTTTTCTTTTTCTCTAACCAAACAAGAAAAACAATTTTCATTTCATTATCCCTTTCCTTTTTCTTTCTATCCAAAGTGATTTTTTTCCCTTTCAAATTCCTTGAACCAAACAGAGTGTAAAGCGTTCATACAAGAATTACAAGATACTGAGTAACCAAAGCAAATAGTGATATTTAGTTTAGACAGAAGTCACTAAATACAATCTCTGGATTTGACCCTGGTCTGGAAGTTGGAACTACAGACTAATATAGGTTGTGAAAATAACAAGACTGTTTCCGGTAAGTATTTACAAAACCCAACAGCGTAGGGGTGGAGGACAAGAGATAAGAAATGTGTACATTTAACCCTCTTGGAATCCTAACTCCAGGTGGGACATACTGGGTATGTTTGGTTTTTAATGTCTACAGTCTCATTAAAAAGACATCAAATACTCCCTCCATCCAACTTTAGAGTTCTCACTTTCCTTTTTCGTCCGTCCAATAATAATCTTCCTATTTCCTTTTTAAGAAACTTTTTTTGAATGCAATGTCCATCTTACCCTCACAAATAATCTCCCCCACTCAACCACACCCACCCCAATCCCGACCCAACCTTTTATCTTCTCGACATTTCTTCTTCATTTTCCTTTCAATTCTGTGTCTACACCCATCCCCACCCACTTCTTCTTCTTCCTTTCAATTGTACATCTTCTCTCTTGATCTTTTTCTTGTCTTTGTCCGGGAGTGGTAATTTTCAAGGCATCAACCATGGCGTTTATTCCGAATTCACAACTAAGCTCGCATCCAAAGCCATTCAATTTTTCTCCTCCCCTCTCTCAGAAGCTAAGGTCGAGACTTGCAGAGACATCGACTAGAACAGATCTGAGGGTGTTTGATTTTGACGGATCATATCTTCGTCAAATTTGAGATTTCCAATCTAGATCTATGATGAAGTTAGTCGGTGGAGACGACAGGTTCTAATGACGTAGAGTAAGGATTCGCCCTTGATGGATGATGGTAGCGTGCATGGAATGAACAAATCTGAAGATTTAGACTTTCAAGGTTGCGCTTGGGTAGATCGGGGAAGAAGATTGGGTGGAGGGTAGTTTAGAAAAGTCAATGATATTTTTATTTCACATAAATTTGCGCACCAAGTCAAAGCGGGAACTTTAAACGACAGAGGGAGTATCAATTAGGACAAACCCCATGATGAAGATTCTAACCAGAACCATCCATGCTTTTGTGAATATGAATTAGAACAGAACCCAAGAAGGATCCTAACAAGATTTATTCATTGTTTTCGCTCTTGATACAAACAGAACCAATCAAACACTACCTTCATCCCAAAAAGAAGACTTGTTTGCCCAAGGTGCAGTTTTTAAATTGTGGTAAGGTACAACTCTTATAAGTTACAAATCCCACTTCAATTTTTAAATTAATTTGTTTGATTTGCACGAGTTTGTACTCCATAATACTTAACATGTTTGAAACTCTTTTTTGGAAAGTGACATAAAAATTACTAGTTTGTTAAGAAGCAGGACTATTTCTAGGACAAATGAAGTTTTTGAAGTGGGGATCTTTTTGAGATGGACGCCATAAGACCTTGTGTGTTTTATTATAATGCTTTCCAATATCTACTACACAACGATCGAAGTGGACAAAGGTAGAAACTAGAGACTTTCACATCTTTAGTGTCACAGGAAAAAGAGCAACAATAACCCAATAGAATTCCACAACAGCAAGGTTTGGGAAGGGTGAGTGTATGCAAACCTTACCCCTACTAGAAGTAGGGAGGCTGTTTCCAAGAGACCCCATCTCAAGCAACAGAGAAAGCAGATAGCACGACAAAGAATTGAAAAGCAAACTAAGGGTAAGAAAAGCGCCATAAGACAGAAGGCACAGGAAACAGAAGTGAAAAGAAAATTTCTCACTTGTTCAAGGGTATGTTGAGCAAGGTCGGTGGTTGATATCATCACCCCCGCAGCAAATGAACCCAATTCCAAACTGAGACCCAGCTTGTCACTACACTGGAAATGTTATACAAATTATTAGAGATCACAAAACAATTTTAGACTAGACAACATTTCATATTGAACCACCATCCCAACTTTTGAAACCTTGTGCACTAACTGCACTTTGTTTGGTTAACTAGACATGCTTTTAACACATTTTTTCAAGGTGGTAGTAAAAACACTTCCAATGCATGCAAATGCAACAGTGACTATGAGAAAAACTTTGAATACAATAAAGAAGTGTGTTAGAAGCTGCAGGGCAATAAAAGACAGATAAAAATAGAGTTTCAGAAAGGTATTTTGTGCTGAAGCACCAAAAGAAGTTCTGAGTTTATCACTGACATGTAAAAAAATTGTAAGAAACACATCCAAAATTATCTAAGCAGTGATAAGAAGAACAAACCCAAGCAACAAGGAGGCAAAATGCAACAGCAGCCAGTTGATAAAGTTCATTGGTCTGCAGAGAAAAATGAAGAAGAAATTTAGGAAATCTGAGCATGAGCAGTATAAAATAAAAGGAACGAATGACTAGCAACATCCACTCAAATATAGCATAAGACACTCTATTTGACTAATGGGAGCTATATTTTCATACTTTCATTAGTAAAACTCACCTGTGATGATAAGCTAATCATCAATTTCAGGAACCATGGGACACATGTCCGACACAATATTGTTAAAATGGCCAAAAATGCGACCAATGTCAGCAACCTGATGATGAGTAATTAGTACAACAAAGATTTTGCATGATGAAAAGAAAATACAATAGAAAGATTTTGCAAAAAGTCTTCCCTTAGCATGTTAACTTTGTTGAGAATAAAACTTTGTAGAGGACCGTAGAGGAAAAAAAATAAAGCACAAAAAAATAGAGAATAAATTGTATTTACCTAATATTCAAAAGATTGAAATATAAAAATATAAAGTTCCTATATACACCATATTTCACACCAATTTTTTTCTAGGCAGATAGAAAATTCTAGTATATTTCATTGCTAACTACTCCCTCCGTCCCAATATATTTGTCCAGTATTCCTTGGTACATATGCCAAAACGAATGTGGACGAATACATTGGGACGGAAGGAGTGTTTATTAATGTTATACAAATCACCCTACATTGCCACCTGGGAGTTACTAGGGGCTAGGTCGAAATGAAACCTTAAGAAACTGGTTTCCCTTGGCCATTGGACAGACTACACTCTCTTGGCCGCAATGTGTAAGTGCATTCTAAGCGCTATACGTTCTCTCCATATGTATTTTTTGTTGATATATTTTAATGGCATAGCACCTGGGTGCTGACTCAGCATCATAAGCTCTAGGTCTACGTGTTTGATGGCAGATGCACGATGGCACCTAGAGATTCTGTAAGCATCCTAATTATAAACCACCCCATAAGTGGGATTATCATTTTCTGGACACTATCAGTCAGTAGAGCATTGTAGGCAATCCTAGGAGAGAGAGGGATGATTCCTCCATATTAACATTGAAATATATTCGAAAAAATGTATTCAACTCTACTACTCTTGATTATCCAATTTCTGCACACTGATCTAACATTACAGTGCAACTATTAATACGTCGAAAGGACCTAATCCCGAATCTCTCAATACCACAAAATAAAAAAAGTAAAAGTGAGTTAAAAAAGAAATGTATCTAGTCGATACTCTCTCAATACCAAAAAATAAGTAATAAAAGTGAGGTACAAAAAGACATGTAGACATGCAATTCCACTCTCTAAGCAGTTCAATAAGGAAAAAATGCTAGACAAAGCATGTAATTCCTTGCAGAACTGTTTCAATTGGAATACTTACGACTTTGTCATGGATATAACTCCCTGCAGTACACCAGAGGTCCCTCCCAGTACTGGAAGTAGCGCGAACAGAAGACCCACAGCACAATCCTGAAAGGTGAAGTTCAAAAAGACGTCATTGGGATCACATAAGAAAAATAACACTCCTTCCATCTCATTATTTTGTCCTTTTTTTACATTTTTTGTCCATCCCACTTTTTTTGTCTCATACCATATTTGGTAGTAATATTTTTGTGGCTCAGTCTCTCTTAAGTATTACCTTTTCTTAATTTTTAAGATCAATATCAACCATATAATTCTACTTTTCTTAATTCCCATGCCACTATCCCATGTCCTAAAAAGTAGTGGGATGGGGAGAGTATGTGATTAAGCAGTAAAGTTATTTCCAAAAAGAATTATTAGAAACATGGCATTGGATTATAAGTTCACATTACATTTGAACGGAAATTAAGAAACACAACAGAAAAGGACCAGAGAATCATGCACCTGCAGAATAAGAGTGCCAATGGTAACTTGGCCATGAATGGTGTTGGTACTATTCTTTTCCATCAAGAATTTTAAAACCTAAATCCAAAAGTAATTGATTGTTATCAGAGCTTGGACAAGACTTTTTAATATCATCATCATCACCACCTTAATCATAACTATTAGTTTCATAGATTCTCTAAAATACTAAACACTATAAATTCATTAAAAACATAATGACAGTTTTATGTGAATGCTCTTGACAGACTTGAGAAGAATTAATTATATGAAATTCCAAAACCCATCATACAACAGGTTTTCTCACTTGCATGGAAAATGTCATAAGGTGGTGATAAGGTAGGTTGTAGTTATGGACTTATAGTCAAGCCTCATTAGTCATTACAGAATCGATATTGTACAATCCACATGTGCATCATACAACATGACCCAACTACTGTTTTAACTTTCAAGAATATATAGACAGTAAAAGATAAATGGGCTTACCACTGCAGTTGAAGACATCGAGAGAAAAGCACCGACAAAAATACCCTCTGAAGATTTCCCACCACACAACTACAATGACCATCAAGTTGGGTTAATTGGAATTGCTAGTCAAACAGGCAATGTTAAAATATACTCTATTGGCACATGGGTTACATGTGTTAAATCTTTTTAAGATGAGAGGCCTTTTCCCCAAATATTGTTTTACACCAATTGTATTCTAATCCAAATCTCTCCAAGTAAAGTTCTAATTGTACTAACTTTTTTTGAAAACTTTTGTTGGTGCAGAAAGTGGTGATAGTGGCCTAGTGGTCATAGTGGAGATGGGAATAGGAGAAGGAATTTGACTTCAAATCTTCAATGCATTAAAGATAAGCATTACAGAAATATAAAACTAAAAAGTGCAAAAATACATTTAACATCAAAGCTTATTTCCCAAATAAATGCATGATTTGATAATATACTTTTGATGTGTAGTGATGTGGAAGAGGGAAAATTCCAATGACAGAAAATATGAAAACCTGAAAGTCACTTGATTCCTATGCACTTATAATGCAGGTTTATATTGTCTAATCATTATAAAGCAGTATTATTATAAATTTTCCAGTTACTAGTAATTATATAAATAAAATTCACAGGCAAATTTGTTTGCCCCCATGTGTTTTATGTATTCAGATATAAAAATAATAACTCATTGAGAAATAAATAGTCAGAAAAGTATCAAATTGGATTGGAATTGCTTCTTTCAATTTTTGGGGAAAGAGATGGCATACTAAGTACTAACACAGTAATAATACTCCCTCCGTCCCATGAAATTGGTGACACTTTGACTTCACGGAGTTTAAGAAAGTTGTTGAAAACTAAAAGGTGTGGTTAAAATTTGTTTAGTGGGGAGAGAATTTTTGGTAGCCCCATATTCATTACATATATAGGGATTAAAGTGTAAAGAATTTTATGGGACATCCAAAAACGGAAAGCGTAAAGAATCGGATGGACGGAGGGAGTATATGATTTTTTTACCACTGGCCTTAAGTCCTTAACATAGCATTCTAGGAATTAATCCAGATGAATCAAGGTTGACAAGTCTAGGAGTGGATTAAGAGTCAAGACAATGGTCATTATTGATACTGTACAAGCTTTGATTAGGCCTAAGCTTTAATCTAAAGTTTTGAATCATATAGGAGATGAAGAAGGCTTGGAGCAATATTCAGAAGTAAATTAAGAGAACTAATTAGCTTAACTAAAATAAATAAATCTTGTGACCGGAAACATGAAAACTCGTGGGAGTGAGTCCTAAGGGAGAGAAAAATGTTGAACCAACATTTAGTTAAGAGAGAAAAACAACATAAAGAAGTCTAGAATTTACCGAAACAGTGATTCCACAGAGACACATGAACAAGAGAATCTGAAGCAGGCCTCCAATAACAGCTACTGCTCGAACAACTCGGAGCTATAAAAATATAACACTGATATAGTGATATTATCATCACATGGACTAATAATCACTTGTTGCGGGTTTACATATGGGCATGAAGCTATAAAAAAGGAATCTGTATGGCAATTTGACATTGTAAACTAACCTTAGTTGTGGAAAACTCTAGTCCCAAAGCAAATAGAAGAAAAATTACACCAAACTGAGCAACAGTCTCTACCTATACACGCCGAATTAGAGTGAATAAAAGAAAATACTCCCTCCGTCCCACTTTAGATTACAATATTCCCTTTTAGTTGAAATTAAGGAAGAGTCAAATCAAAAAAAATTTCCCCAAATTACCCCCCAAATCCCCCCAAATAGTGTGAATAGTGGCTGGCAGAAAAGAAAAGGGAGGGTAAAAGAGTCAAATCACTATAAAGTCATTGACTTTGTAATCCTTTTTGGGACAAAAATGTGAGGGAATATTGTAATCTATTTCGGGACGGAGGGAGTAATAGAAAAGAGCATGGAACATTAAGCTTTATGAAGCTGAACTTCGATAGACCATACAATAAGTAAGTAGGTACATGTTGCAAAGACAAAGTAAAATGTCATATAGCTACTTACTTGCACCATCTCACTTACAACGTTAAAGCCTCCAGGCCCAACAATAGATCCTGCTAGTAAGTATCCAGTTATAACCTATGAATTTGCTGACTGTTAGAACTTCTGAAGGTTGGGTATCTGACTTCAAGACATTAGATGTTAATATACATATTATGAGTGAAAGTTAACAAACTGGTTGTCCAGCACAAGCAAAAGCAATTCCACCACAAGTTGCAGCAACAATGACAACTACCAGATCTGATATCAGCCTATAAAATATGCACAATACAGACATTAAGTGCTTTTGCCATCAAAAAGTTGACAATTGCATCAACATGATATAACAGTTCAGAAGCAGTACCTTAAGTCTAATTGCAGCACTGGATATTTCGACTTGAAATTAGATATGATAAATACATTGTCCTGGGTACACAAAGCAATCACCATTAGTATTAAACACTTTCAAAACTTTATGCTAATGGGAATATCCATTGATTTCTGATAGTGCATCTTCTTCTTCATTAACAGAAAGGGCATGAAATGATTTAAAAGGTCAGGAATAAAACCTACCTTCCTATCAATCAAAGTAGGTGTCTCTTCTGCTCCATGGTCGTTATCAAGGTTGAAAACATGGTGAAGTTGAAAGGACCTGAACATCCATTTGCATGGAATATAAATAAAATAAAAGGAGGAATAACATATGAATGAGAATGGAAGTAAATGCCAAGGTCATATTGTAGAGTTACATACTGTTCCTCCTTTTTTGTGTCATTTTTCTTGGGCTTAACTCTAGCCACAGTCTCTAGCACTGCCTGCAAGTAGTGAAGAAAATGCAAAATCAAGATAGCTTAGATGACCCTTAATCCATAAAGAAGTTCAAATAATTTAAGAATTTAAAATGTAATGGAGTTATGTGTCAAGTGTAAGTTAAATCTACCATCCTATCACATGGCAAACATTTAATTGTGTAAATTTGATAGTTGGTAATTAATACATGAATGAAACTCATATACTCGAAAAGGAGAAGCAGAACTATAAATTAACACATGAAAGAAACTTGTATGCGCCCATCCCCAAATTTGAGAAGAAACCCCTATCTTGAAGGACAATCACGGGCATTGAAAGTTCCAAAAGCTTGCTAGAGATTACTAAAGAGAAAATAATTTGCATAAAAATTCAAAATTAATCGAGATACCGTATCTAAAACAACATCTACCCTCCTTAAAGTGGTGATACGTGTTTTGAGCTTACCAAATGCAGTATAAGGGAAAACATAATTCTTCATGTCAATGCTACACTAAGTAACTAACAAGTCTAGAAAATGTAGTGCAAATGATAACAATATGTATGCAATACATATGCAGATATAAAGCCTTTTCGAGATATGGTGAAAGATCAAAGGAGAGATGTTTAAGAATCCACACACCTGCTGCTCTGAGACGGTATTGTTGAAGCTGCCTGCATCATTAGCTGCCAATTTAATGCAAGGCCACTATTAGGAAAAGACATTATTAGTTCATAATATTGTTTTACCTACAGCTATGGTAATTAATGAAATCTGTGAAGCTATGAGGTATTGACATACATACAGAAAAGGTAATTTATGAAGGGAAATGTGAAACACCTCCATATGTTAGGTACGAATTAGGGCAACATTCTATTTTAAATCTTTTGAGTTCAAATCAATTTTTTTTAAGTTATTTAGAAATAATAGCCCCCACTTGACATATCTATTTAGAAAAGGCATGTATAGTTGCAAGTTCGGCACCACTAATTGCAAGATATTGAATGAGCAAATTCACAAGAATGATCAGAATTAAGCCCTGTCCAAAATCTTAAACGAATTGCCAACTTCCAATCCATAGCAGGGTATTCACAACTTCATGACGAAGAGATTAGATCTAAAAAAAAAATCAACCTTCGCTCTGATCAGTCTCATTGAATTCCTTTTCCAGAGCTCGATCGATCATGTCAGCAAAGCTGTCCTCCTTGGGCGGGTTCCGCGGTTCACCGCCCGTGGAGTTCAATCCAGACGCATTCGCATCTAGCAGCTGATCCGTTTCCGTGAGCGAAAATGCGAAGGCGGCGGAAGTAGTAGTCGCAGTAGCAGAGAGCAAAGCTAGAGAGAGGAGAACGAGAGCAAGTGCGGAAAGCACTGAGACCTCGACCGAATACGGCGGCGACGGTGCGGGCGGAGGCGAATACGAGCTCATCCCCCTCCTTTTCCTCCTAGTCATGGCACAGGCGCACGATACGCAGTTCCCGGCGGGCGGCGCACGCTATGAGGAACCGCTGGGGTGTCGGCGCGTGGATGTCCGCCAGGCGGTGTTCGGTTGGTTAAACTCAGAGAAGAATGAATGAATGAAAGTATGACTCTGTATTTCCTTTGCAACTTGTTGAACACCAGACTTTCATGATACTTTCGGATCAAAATTTCTCATTATTCGAGTTTTTATTCGCCCCTTTTTCGGGGATCAAGACGTCATCAAATAAGTAAAGCATAAACCTTCTCAAATTTTGTTGTTGTTTAAAATAGGAAAAATTACCCAAAATAATCCCAACTTTACTCGATCTTTCAAAAATAATCCCACCTTTCATCTTTCACTGTGATGCATAATAATCCCAACTTTACTGAAATTTGTCAGTTTTGGGTCGCCGTTAAGTTTCTAACGGAGGGATAACGGAAATACCCATTTTATGCAACAAAATGAAAGTTGGGATTATTTTTGATGAATTTTTGTTTTTAATTTTTTTTTAAATTTGTATTTAAATTTTTTGAATTACTTTCAACCTCTATTTTTCTTTCTTTTTTAAAGATTATTCTTACCTTAGAAAAAAAATAGATATAAAAAATAATGAAAATAAGAAAAATAACTAAAACCATACAAAATTAATCAAATAAATAATGTAATCAATAGAAATTAAACAAAAACTGGTAAAAAATAAAATAAATATATATATGGAGTCGTGGGTTTAACATTTTACACACTATACAGAGTCTTAATGTACTACTTATTTTTTAAAAGAACAAGCCGTCCGATAAAGTTAGAATTATTGTAGATAATTTTTTCTAAAAAATAAGAAGTGATATGTTAATACTTTGTATAATGCCTAAAATATTAAAACCCACCCGTATATTTTTATTTTACTTTTTCCAATTTCAAGTTAGTTTCCATTGATTACCGTATTTATTTTATTATTTTTGTATCATTTTAGTTATATTTCTAATTTTTTATTTTTTATATCTATTGTTTTTATTTTTTAAACTAAGACTAATCTTTAAAAAAGGAAAAAGAAATGATGATGGAGAGAGAAAGTAATTTAAAAAATTTAAATGAAAATTTCAAAAAAAAATTAAAAAACAAAAATTCATCAAAAATAATCCCAACTTTCATTTTGTTGCCTAAAACAGGCATTTCCGTTAATCCCCCGTTAAAAACTTAACGGCAACCCAAAACTGGCAAATTTCATTAAAGTTGGGATTATTATGCGTCACAGTGAAAGGTGAGATTATTTTTGAAAGACCGGGTAAAGTTGGGATTATTTTGGGTAATTTTTCCTTTAAAATAAATAAATAAACTTATACCCACCTTTAGAGTCTGTTATGAGTTTAAATTCTTAATTTTCATTTCTTTAATTTTTCTAGTTTCTTTTAGTTTTTTTTAATTTTTTCTAATTTTTTTAATTATTTTCATTTTCTTCAAATTGTGTCTACTCCTAAATAATTACTTTAAAAATAATGTATTTTAAATGTGACTATTATCATTATTTATATCATTATTATTAGTATTATCTTCATTATAGTTATTATTAATGTTGTTACAACTATTATATTCATAACTATAGTTTATAAATTATTTTATTTTTTATTTTTTTTCCATATCACTATTTTACGATTGACACTCTTCTAAATTGATGTGATTAAAATATTTTAAAGAAAAAATAATAGACTAGGAGTAAAACATAAAAGTATATATCAAAATAAGATTTCTATGTTTTTATTTCCAAAATAAGAATTACAATGTCAATCATGAAAGAAGAAATAGGCTTGATCACGTTATATGACAGTTCTAATATTTAAAATAACATCTTGTAATATATAAATTATAATTACAAATATATTTTTTTTATACTACCTATGTTCTTGAATATTTGTCAGTTTTGACTTTTTTCAGTCAACTATTTTAACATTTGACCTATAATTAAATAAAATATATATTGTATATTTATTAGATAAACTAATATTTTGAAAATATTTTATATAATAAATCTAACAAAAATATTTTTGTATCAATATCTAATATAATTTTTATTTAATTTGAAGTCAAAGTTTACCAATTTTGATAAAAAAAATCAAAAGTGGACAAATACTCTAGGACGGAGGGAGTAATAAATAGTGCATAAATAAATTGAGTTGAAAAGTAACTACAATAACTTTTTAAAATTTAAAATTTTAATATTTATGCTAAAATTAAGATAACATAATCATGAATATAATAATAATAATAGTAATAAATTATTACAACAAAAATTAGAATGAGAATAATATAAAAAAAACTTAAATAAATTTTTAAATTTTTTTAGATTTTCCTGGTGTTTCTCATTCATTCCAGTTTTTTTCTAGTTTTTTTAGTTCCTTCCAGTTTTTTATAATTTCTTCTAATTTTTTGAGTTTCTTTGATAGTCTTTCAATTCTTCCAACACTCATCTCTTTTTTCCCAGACTTAAATAATAGGCTCTTAGAACATCAACAATGACAATTAAATAAATGAAATGTCACACGTTGACGTAGCACATTTCAACCAATAAACAACAATCTAATCGACGTATGGCATGTGAGTGAAATGACATGTCATGTAGTGATAAGTCATTATTTTTATCACTTTTGAAACTTTTTTAACATATTTTAATTATTAAAAAATATTTTATTAATTTTTTAAATAAAATTAATAGGACATCCAAATATAGAAGTGTATTTTTGGAATGGAGAAACACAAGTGACCCGTGAGTGGAATGACATGTCATACAGTGTATATAGATGATTTTGACTAGCTTATAAACATATTGAAACACCCACTATTATATAACTCTGTAATACTATATCTATCAAAGTATTTTTGTCAAATTTGATTTTTTCGAGTCGTACTGGACAAACTTTGAATTTTAATTACTTTCAATTTGTATTGCATATAAGTACATTGAAGTAAAATTTTTAAAATTCTCAACGAGATAAATCTAATAAAATTATTTATATACTAATATACATTGTACTTTTTATCTAATTAAAGTTCAAAGTTTGTCGTGTTTGACTTGGAAAAATTAAATTAGACAAATATACCGGGATGGAAGAAGTGTATATATATAGTATGGACATACTTCGTATATATTAAGTTATAATTTAACTTTAATTTCATTATTTATTCCATTTAATTTTATTTTTAAAATATATTATTTAGCTTCGTCTTTAATTTTTTTGTCGAATTATTAGATGAATTGAATTTGATCATAAATTAAATAGGAATTTTATTACAACAATGAACATTTTATTGTCTCATACAATTAAATAGGAGTAAAATATTTTTAATAATTTATTTTAATTTATTATATAATGTATATTAAAGAGCATCTCACATCAGAACTTGAAGAGAAAAAAAATAAATTGGTTTACAAGATCTTGAGTTGAACTAAGTAATTGATTGGATTCAATATTTTAATATTGTTCAGCTCAAGTGTTTTATTGCCCAATCCAGTAACCTTTTCCCCATCTTAAATTTTTTCAATGTAATACGTATTTATTCAATTTATGATCAATATTAGTCTAATTTGACTCTAAAGTCGAAATATGGTGGGCAAAAATACCGGTCCAAAATTGTTCTGAAGCGGACTGATAATGTACCGAACTGAAAAGCGGATTTTCAAATGGTTCTAGTAAATTATATCTCGAATCAAATGTTTTCAAAATGGTACGGGACGGGTTTCCAAAAATTAAATTTAAAACCGGACTGTTACCATTAAAATATTAATTTAACAAATTAATTCTACATTGTCATATGTTAATTTTTAGTAAGTCTATGTGATATTTATTTGGTGTGACTTTCACAAACTTAAACTTATGTTTTTACAATAATTTATTACCTCGAAGTACAACTTGAATTATAATTTTATTTGTTGAAAATGATATCTATCATCAAGTTTTTTAAAAACTTGTAACTAAGAATACACATGTTGAGTAAGAAAATAAGCATGCATAAACATACATTTGTGCACCAATTTTTTCAATCACATCGGTTGTTTGTTATAAATAAAAATATTTTCAAAACGTGGAAGTATTATGGAATGGTATGAGATTAGTATGACATGGTACGTACCATTCGGTTACCGAAAGACATGATACCGAATGAGTTTAGGTATAAAACCGAAACCGTAAAGAACCATTTGAATAATAACAGTATGATACAAGTACTTTAAAAATACCGAACCGTCAAAGGACCGTGCCCAAGACCAAATACATGAATGTTTGTTTTTGGAGAGGGAGATTGAATAATTAATTAACCCACACAAGCATAAACTCGATCTCCACCAAGATCATGACAAGTTGCACACTATTTGCTTCCTAGCTAGGTATAGTAGCTAAGAGTTCGTAGTAGCATTATGCTCCCTCCGTTTCTCAAAACGGATCCTCTTTTGACTTTGGGGAAAAACAAGGAAGTATTAAATTGTAGTTGACTTTCCAATTTTGCCCTTGATGTGATGGGTGAAAGTAAGATGTGATAATTTAGTTGTTAGTGAAAAAGTATGATGTGATAGGTAGGGTATGAAAAAGTAGGGGTAAAAGTGATTTTTTAATAGAAAAGGGAAGTGTTTTAAGAAAAACAAAAAAAATGAAAGATGAAGGGTTTTAAGAAACGGAGGGAGTATATAGCCAGGTGGGAATTGATGAAGGTCGTAATTATGAGGTAAAGAGGACAATTGGATGCATGTGTGGGCCGGGAGCTGAGGACAATGCAAGTAGTCTCCCATGAGGTAGGTACCATGGAAAATAAATTGGGTTTAATTGGTTTCTTCTTGACACACACATACATATACATAGACAACTGGCCCGCATGGGTAGCTCAGTTGGTCAAGAGCGTGAAATCTTGGACCGATGACCAGGGATCGAATTCCGCAAGCGGCAGTGTGGGAGCTATCCAAAAATCCCATAAAGGGTGAGGAGGCTCCTTGTGCGCGGTGGGCACGGGTCTAGCGTTCTTGACCGACTGAGTCACCATAATTTACATCCACCACCATTCCTGTCGGGCAAGGGGGTGGGGGCGTCTGGGGTGGACGATTCCACCTTT